GTAACTCTAAACTGACCCTGGGTGTGAGACTGAATAGTTATTGTGATGGACTCTGTCCAGAGTGTCCCCCGCCCCTCACGCAGTGACTGCTGAATATGGGCCCCAGTGACCCRGTAAGGAAGAAGCAGGTAAAAGATAATGGATGGAGCTTTCTAACAGTCACAGTAACTGTTGTTTCTGTYTCAGTCTTGTGGGAAAGTACGAGTGTTCCTGGAGGGAATTGGTGGGCCTCTGGAGGTGTGTTGCGACAACACTGGGGTCAAATCCGAGCTTTCAGGATCTCACAGTTTCCACAAAGACAAAACAAATCCCCCCTGCTGAGAGGAAGTCCGATAACGCATCACCTGCAGGAACTGAGGGGGAGTTTGATGGAAAATAATACAAATAAAAGTCAGAATGAAGGTCAGAGAATGAAATGTTTATGTTTTTATGTACAGTTTTTCAGCACATGGTTTAGCCCTGCAGTTATGGTCTCATGGGTGTGACAGGATGACAGGTGGAAAGACAGGAAAGTCACAGATTGTGGAAGTCGTGTTCGGGCACGTTGCTGCTAAATGTTGACTGTGAGCTTCCCAAGCAGCACCCAGTCAACCCTGATCATAATAATAATAATAATAATGGGTTAAAAATAAATAAGTACATGTTGGAGATCACTTAAAGAAAAACATGATTTTCAGGCCAGAAGCAGCTCATGAAATGTCTCATTCTCCATTGACTGTCAATAATGCTCTCCATCACCTTTTTCACTATAAAACTGTGCTCATATTTTTACTAAAACAGACATCAAATGTATTTTCTTAAGAAACAGTGCTATTGGTTGGGACTGGAAGTACCAGACAAAGAATAAAAGCTTCAAAAAGAAAAAAGAAGAGGTCAAATTATTTTCTCTAGTTTATGTGCTTTATGTGTTGTAAACAAAGTGCTACAAAATTGTCATTAGTGGAGAAAAAAAGAGGGTAGAATTTCAAACATTTCTTTTGTTTTAGCCTGATTAAATGTCCCTTTTCAGACCAAAAAAAAGTCACACATCACAAATCAGCTGCAAAAATGTCTTATATACTGTCATCCAACCAAAGCAGAACATTTTCTCTCGTTTGTCAGATTAACACAACTGCTAAGCTCTAATAAAGATGCAATAAATCTTATCTGCCAACTGATTTTTAAAATGAAACATGATTCATTATTTGATTAGTTTGGCCCAACTACTATCTG